GTATGTTATTGGAGCCACATGCCTAGCACGGAGTTTATTCACTCTGGAGCATAATCCCCCCCCTCAAATGCATTATATGTGCAATGCCAAGCCACTTGGCAACAGGGGGCTGACACTTGTCAAAATGGTCTCTGTCAATTGTATATCATTAGCAAAGCATTAAGATGTCGTTGCGCCCTGAGTCAAGTCCAAGAGCACAGCCTCAAGACTCCGCCCGAATTAACAAGGTCATGTTGTCACAGAAAACTTCACAACATATGCTGAGAGGCTTTAATTTGCGCAGCATTGCAAGTGGCTCTGCAATGTCAATATTTTCAAGATTACATTTGTAGGATGCAAATTAAAGCAACAAAGTTGATCTCTTCAAGGTAAATCTGCCAGCGAGCAATGCTCTTGGCGTGGTCTTTGTAGGCTGGAGTACATTTTCGTTTGTTCAATTTTCAAAAGTATTCAAAGCAATGTCTATCATACATTAGGCCAATGTGGCCCATCAGGCCAGCGTTAATCACCAGTTTCAAAAGCAACAGATGTGGCAACCCCCTGGATTGGATGCCAGTCCACTGTAGGTTACACCAGACATCTGCATTCCCCAGGTAATGTCAGGATCTGATCCATACTCCTAGGTGGAAAAGGGCAAGTAGGGTTTAAATGGCGTACGAGCGGACTGCCTATTGTTAGCCACTGGACTCGAATCTATGCCATCTGATCATGAGTCACAAACCCCTTTAACTACCACTAGGCTATTCCCCCCACACACACACTCAACCTGCGCTGATACACTATCCATCCTGAAGAAGTGCATTAACCAGTAATGGAGCTGGATTTTAGACATGATACCTATATGATCCAACACTGGCTACATCCAAGCTCCCAACAAGTTTACATAGCAATTTATGCCATGTCAGGGTGGATGAAGTTGAACCTGAATGATGGGAAACAGAACACTAATATGACCAACTGCTGACTCTTGTGATGTGGGCCACAATACATGTATTTGTATTATGTTTCATTTGGGGTTTCAGGCTCCCAGGTTGTACATGTAGGTCAGCTGTTGAGCTCTCAGAGTTGGGGATTGGGAATTGGGTTGGGTTTAAGGGGAAGGGGTTGGGGTTAGGGGGTTTAGATGTTGGGTTGAAGGGGCTGGGTGTACGTGTTGGGGGTTTTGCTTGGAAAGTTTGGTATTGGGCTTGGGTGCTGAGTTGGCTTTTGTGTGTTGGAGTTGGGGGGAGAGTTTGGGGGCTGGGTTTTGTTGAATTGGGATGCAGTCAGGAAATTTATCCTTCGTTTCACGTTTGAAACCAATAGTCAGTAATGCTGGCTCTTTCTGGCAAGTTTATCAGGTTGAATTTTTGAGTCCTGAATAGAAAATATTGTAATTCAGGTCAAACTGGACGGCCATTTCTGAAACACTGCTTGCAAACCAGTCCTCAATTTGATTGATGAAATGGCCCTCTCTGTATGTACATGTAACCACCTGTTCATACTCCTTCAACCCCCACCCCAATTTATGTGAATACCAGCCAAGTTCAATTGCAACCTGTTTGTCTTGAGCTGGAAACCTGACTCCCATAAATTACAATCCCTGCCGTCAATAAGCCAGCAAGTTCCACCTCACATTGGTCATCATGGGAAAACTCAACGCTGACCGTGCTCACCCCGTGAGCCATCATGGTGTTTGCAGCAAGCCCTGGTAATTCTCTCCAAACACTGGAAAATGTGTTGGTGGTATGGTCAAGCATAGTACACACATGTACATGTACATTGCAACTGAAAGTTAACTCGGGGAATTGGGTGGGAAATTTTGTGAAAAGAATTCACTTTCACACTCACATTCCACAAGGTGTGAAAATGATTTCCCACTTTTTAACCCTCATAGGAAACTCTGTGAAAATCTTTTCCCACTTGCATGAAAATCTACTGGGTTACAATTCTTCTCCCACTGGTAGGAAAGTCTTTGAAAATCTTTTCCCACTTGGGAAATTTTTTTTTAAGGTTTTGTGAAATGAAATTGAATTCCCTAGGAAGAAAAAAGTATGATGAGAATTTCCTATTCAAGGGTTAACTTTCAAAGGGAAAAGTACTGGAGGCGCAAGAAAGTGCATCCCATTGCTTCTGACCCAATAACCTAAATTGCTAAGTAATTCAAGAGCTGCAAGAATTGCTTTCAAGTTACAAGCCTTACAGAAATCTGACACAATGAAATCTGGTAAGGGAACTACATTTTCAACCATATGGCTGAAATACTGAGCAACACATGCACGTATGTGTACATGTACATGCATACTTGTACATAAAAAGGTTGGAGTCCGACTTCTCTTCCCATTTCACTTGGAAACCAAATAAGTGACGAGTCTAATTTAAGAGTCACATGGATCCTGTCGCATGGATGACCCTGTCTGACCCATTTAATCTCAGAATGAAGTCAAGAGAAAGCTGAAACAACACCCCCACCATTATGTACTGACTCAAAGCAAGCCGGTGTATGGATGAAAGACCTCCAAACAGCATGAAGTCAACTTCACTCACCCTTCTAACAAGCCCCCACATTTTCTTCAGGATAAAAAGAGGAAGTCTTCAGAAATTTCAAATGAATTGAGCGAAGTTAGAGACTTAACTTTTTAGATTTTAGACAACACAAAAAGGTATCATGTACATGTAGGTTTGGTCTCTGAAAAGGATGGAACATTCAACTGTCTTGTGATGTAATTTAGAAGGTGTGAAAGCAGGAGCTGGGTACAAAATGTTTTTGTAACTTTTGAAAGACCTGGGGCAACAATGAAATCATCGAAAGTTAAACTATTTCAAGTCAAAGAAATTCAGTAGCTCTTGTATGGGAATTTCTTACTGTTCAGTTTTTTAGGACTTTCCTGAACAAATAATGAGACCTTCAAATTCCTGTTTTTACTGACCCATAATTTTATTGGCAGACAGAAATTCCCATGACCATCTCTGTTCGGCAGAAAATCTCCCACTTACTTATTTTCATTAAAGACTCTCTTGACATCAAGAGGGTGTAAGCTTTCCTCGATGCATTAGAAAAAGGCTGATAACATCAAAAGCCTTGGAATGGTTCGAGGAATCAAGTTTCAATTTTTCATTGTGTGGGCTTTTTGCAGTCAGTATTGACAGTGACCCTCAGGAGGTGTTGGGGCACCTGGTGGGGATCTCTGAAGGATTAATGGCCAGGTGAACAAAAGCACAAAGGCCTCTGGTGACCAAACATCATGAGCTCAAGCTCTTTCCACCGGGTAAAAATGCATAATCTGCAGGAACTACATGTATCTGTGCCATTCCAAATGGTGCACACTGCAGCACAATCAAAACAGAATATTTGTGCTTCCGGGTCAACCCACCCAACCTCGCAAATCAAGTCAAATCATAAATCTCTTTCTGAAGAAATAAACTTGAATATGGGGATAAGAGAGAGAGGAGTGGAGACAGATTCCCACAACATGGGTATCTACTCAGGTGTAGTGATGTTTGCTAATGGAATAAATAAGGCACGCAGTATCTACCGGTAGCAGTATCCGTCATTTAAAGGCACCCCATATATTACCGTTACCCCTGCACATTGGGCAGACAGCATCAGAGCATTCCTAACACCATCTCAGCTCCCTGGGGAGTGCAGGAGAACTCCACTGGCCTGATGCTGCCATAACAGGCACAAATACATTCATCTCCCCTCACAAAGACCAGGGGCCAATTTCATAGAGCTGCTTAAGCACAAAATTTGCTTAAGCGTGAAAAAACCTTGCTTGACAAATCGGCTTACCAGCCAAAACTCCATGTGATGTATATTGGTTTGGAATGGTATTCGCCTGTCTTTTGGTGAGCATGACAATCACAAAGAATTTGAGCTGGTGACCTTTGTTTTTTAAGCAAGTTTTTTTTTGTGCTTTAGAAAATTTTGTGCTTAAGCAGCTCTATGAAAATAATTGGCCACTGGTGGAGAGAGGCACCTAGGGGTAAAGTGACTTGCCCAAGATACACATATGTATCAACAAACATGTACTTATATTTATATCTAATATCTTGTTGAATATTATTACACATATCTGTCACTTGTGGGGCAGGGGTGGCAGTAGTGAGTACGAGATATTCTCTGACACCTCATCACAGGTGGCGACATGCCTGTCAGCCAACCAGAAGTCCCTGTGCTCTCACGGTGTACTGTGCATGTCACAAGTTTGTATTCCCTCGGCAAAATAGTGTCAATGATCAAAAGGAACGTTCAGGGAAGCATCAGTCAATGTGGATCTTTTCCTAAACCAAGAGGGAAATCTTTCAATTCCCAGAAACTGTCTGTGCGTGACAGCAAGAGCTCACAGCTTCTCGCTGGAGTCTCACACTGAATGCATGCACCCTGGCAACTCAGCCAAAGGCAATTCTTATTTTACTGAAAGCACAGTTACACGTACATGTGTGCAAGTACTTAGTTTCTAGGAAGCCAGGAAGATTGAAATTTATTTCAAACGAGTACCGGTACACAACCATATTAATGTTTGACCTTTGTCAATATCTTGCCAGAGCTAGTTGTTTTTTTCTAGAGATTCTGTCTTTTTTAGAAGTTACTTATACAATTCCCCTGATTTTACCGTTGTGGTGACTGCTACAGTGATATTGCTGTACACAAGTTGTAATACTCAGTAATACACCAAATCAATGCACAGTCCTCAAGGGATGTCAGTTCTGTGCTTGTCTAGAGACTGAAAATAATGCCAGCGCTCTCCAAAAAGGTCTGAAATTAGCCTAAAATTACAATGCAAAAAGCTAATCTAGCTTTTTCCTGAAAATTGGCATCCCATGTCCCCTTCCCTGCATAGTTTCAAGTCTTACATCGGGATATGGTCACATTCTTTAAACTCTCAGGTGGGAATTTTGTCCCTTGGGTGGGGCAGCTGTAGGGGGCCTGGGGAAGATACATGTACATGTAGGTTGACCAATACCACAGATGGGTTTGAAGTAAATGATATGAAATAAGTATAAGATGAACAACTTACCATATTCAATATTGTCAGTACATAGGATGTAATCTTCTCATCTCCATGGTTACGGATCATCTTCTTGTCTACCACCACCAACGTTTCAACATAGCGATTTCTGTGGATATTACCTTCGATGGCACGTTTGGATCTGTGCTCCACTGAATGTAAGGGGGTATGGAACTCGTCGACAAAAAAGACTGGTTCCTCAGGAACATGTGGCTGAACTGCAATTAAAACAATAAGAACTACAGATTAACGAACAGCATCGGAACTCCCTTTGGATACACATTGTACTTTGTTTTGCTGAACAAGGCTGCAAAGCTGAAAGACTTTTCAAGTTAAAACTCTTCCTAACGCTTTTGTGCATTTTAAAGTTTTTTGAAGATTTTTGACGACAGTTGACAACATGTACGGTACCAGTAGATCTCAGAGTGATGTCAAGAGCCAGAACAAATTGGGCAGGGTTGTAATACCATCATCATAGTCTGTCACAAGTCGTCCCATCGTGAGCTTCAATTATGGGCAAATGAGATGTGACAGACACATTCTCTTCAATCTTTTGGCATTGTTCATCCTCCTGGTAACTGTGAACTGATTGGTGAGATTTGACTTGTGATTAACATGTGACTGACGCGAATGCAACCCTGCGTTTTTATATATATCACAGTAAATGTATGTAAAAAGCGTTCTGTTTTACTGCATATTTTCCTCACATTTCTCAAGCAACAGACATGAAAGCAGTTCAATTATGAAGTAATTTGTCTTCACAGTGTCAAAATGCTATTTCACCAACCAGATCAAAACTCTTTTTGGGAGATTTTCATCCCTTTGAAATGGAAATACATGTGCAGTGTACAGTGTATGTTTGACTAGGGTTTTCTGATCAAGGCATGCAAAAGTCAAACCCAAACGCCTTAAGAACGGGTCTTGATTTTTCAAATGGAGTTTTAATAATAGATTATTTGAGAATTTGGGTTACTCTGGAACTGTGTTCCAAATCACATGGTACGCAATACAAGCGAAAGAATGCTCAGTCTCCTTTGAGACAGACAATCTTGATGCCAGAGAAATGCATGACATGTCCAGGAGAGGAGGTGTAACAGCGACAGCAATAACTTCACTCTTGACTTTTCAGGGCTTTTAACAGCTACATGTACATGAAAAAAACATGAGATCTCTCTCAAATGGCAACAGCAAACCTTGTATTGGAGTTCTTATGCAAGCGGAAACTAGCAAAACTGGAATAAATAAACTTCTAGAAATCAATGCCTTTGGAGTCTGACATTCTGAAATTTGGACAAATCACACCCCTGTTAACAGTAATAAAATGAAACAGACACAAACCTCACAACTCTAATGTCATTTCAACTGGCTATGCCGAGTTGGGCAATATTGCCAATACCTATCACAAGGAAAACAGAACTTACATTTATCACAATTATCGGTCCAATTATGGGTTTAAAAGATCAGCCCACTGGACCAAGTCCGAATATTCAGTCACCAGGGTGATACTCTGCGTGAACTCGCTACATGTAGTACAATAATCCAATGCTTTTTCACACTTTGAATAATTATCAAGAACTTCAAGAACTCCAAATCCTCTCATTTTTTTGGTCTCAATCCCACAAGTCAAGCCTCTATCTTTATACTTTTGTTCGTATCTCCTGCAATTTTTGCTTCCCATAAATCATTACGACAATGATGGACAATGTTCTTGCACCTACATACATGTACCGTGTGCAGTACAAGTCTCCAAAAAAAAAAGAACAACAATGCGATCTTTCAAACTTTTTTGGACTAAACTTCAAACCCTATGTGCTTTCTTCTTAGAAAGCTCTAGAGAGATTTGACAGTACCAGTAGCTTATCAAGGGTTGCAAAATGTATGTCCCGGAACAGTTCCCCAAAGCAAAAGAATAAAATCTTTACATGTACATGGAACTAAAAAGATCCCCCCTCACCCCAGAGTTTGGGCTTTCTGTCTATCTTGTGGCTGAAAATTATCCAATCCCTGATCCTCCGATACCTTTATTTTCTCCTCCCCCACCCCCATCTTCAATCACTGACATAAAATTTTATGTATACATTGATGTTGCGGTAACATCAAAGCTCCCCATGGATAGAAGACAGCCAATATTGGACCAAGGGATTGCAACTAATAATACGACAATACAAGCCTCTTTAACTCTTATTCCGAGTACTTTACGGATATTATATAAATCATTTGGGTGTGGACTCTGGTGAAGGGGTAGATAACCTATCTGTTTACAAAGTGCCGACCAAGCATAAAGTGCTTTATGAAGTGTCCGCACTTCACCAGCGAAGCATAACTACTTTGGTTTGAAGCGTCAACATGTCTGGGGTATAGTGCATAGTTTAAATATCAAATACATTGATTATTGACCAGTTGTCTCCACGGCCTGGGTTACATATTCGGTACACTTAGATCTGACTATCAGAGGTCCCACCAATAATCCATTGTTATGACTCTGGTCCTGGTTTCAGAAGTTTGATCCAAACTGTAATTTTAATGTTAGTCAATTTGCATGGGAGTGATGCATAGCTATCATTCCCCACCAAGAGGTTTGGGGGAGAGGGCATTTATTGCAACACATTTGGGGGAAAGGTCAAACGTTTTCACCTTTTCTTGGATGCATATGATGGACATTTTTTGTGTTACTAGAAGTACATGGGTGCAACTACCAGGCTTTAAAATGTACATGTAGAGTGCAATATTACATGCAGAGAGTATGACCAACTAATCAACTGCTGGATATTGCAAATGAGAAACTGACTCTGACATCTAACAGTGGCCTCGTCAAGTAAATGCTATATAGAGCACTATATTGCAGATCAATCATAACGGCTCTCCTTTCCTACCTTATGCAAAAAATTAAGGAACATTTAGTTTGAACACATTTGGTTTAGCCAACACTTCCAACACCAAGACCAAAATATTGTTTTTTAAATGAACACAGCTACACATATGCAATGAGCAAAGGTCATCAGACGAGGGTCAAACATCCAAGGGCTAAATTGCTGTACACTCAAAATATTTTCTTCCTTTCACCTAGCCATGGAACAACCACTGGAACAAACATTTGTTCCAAAAATTTTTACCAAGGGTAAGAAGTGCCAGTGTATTTGCTACAATGTTGCTTTGATGATCAGTGAAGGTAGGGTTCAAGTGAGTGAGTGGATATTAGCAGGGAAGGGTAGACTTGGTTTCAAGAATGTACAGTCTTGTACTCAGACTGGTCCACACACGTGCTGCATCTAATTGGAATGATAACAGTTACAATCAAGTACGGTATCAATACATTTTCATAATTCAAACTAATCTTATTTACATGTACCATTAGTCACAGAAAATTTAATCTTTTTCACTCACAAGTCTGCCTGATCACTTTCCGATTAAAATGCTTCTGATTGAAATGTATGTGCACAATTCACAAGTACATGTACATGTATACATGTACCAGTACATGTAAACAGGATTTTTTTCCAAAACTTTCCTAGGGAAACTACATTAAGGTGCAATGATCCTTCCCAATAGCTGTTGAAAGGGGTGTTGGCCTTGTCCCAACTGTTAAGTATTTAACTGAACAGAAAGTGGTGGACCATTTATTGCAATGAAACTTTTGCACAAGGCTCCAGATCTTCCTTTTGAAAGTTGGTAAATAAACAAAGTTGGTAACTGAACAGGGTGTCCTCAAAGAGGCCCAATTTCACATTCACAATTTCCCAGATTACCAAGCTAGCACTAATTCAGATCCAAAGAGGTTCCACTTGACCAGTTTCAAACTACAGACAAAATTGGTCATAAAGTACACATCCAAACCTAAAATAGCAGTTCTCTGGTTTAATTTTTTTTTCAAATTTATTTGCCAAAATTCTGAAAACGAGGAATGATCAGTTGCCAATAAAGATGCTGTCAATACATTTAATGTGAAACAAATGCATCCAAGATGATATATTATTTTACAGAGTGTAGAGTGAGAGAGTACACAATTTTTGGGCAAGATTTGGCTGGAATCACACAGTGACAAAATGCCAAGGATATTCTCCTAATACTGGAGGGGGGGGGAAATAAATCATAAAGAAAATTTTTTGACTTCATCAATTAATGGGACCCCAACTACATGTAGGACATTTGGCAGTCGTTTGGGCCACTAGATAACCCGTCTTCTGGGTCTATGCCAGGAGCTCTAGACCAAGATGAATTTAATCACTGGATAATGTCCTCCAGGTATTTCATAGATTTCACATTCTGCAATGACTTCCTTTAGCTTTACAAGGACCCTGCACACTACAATAATACACTCATGCAGTGCTATTTTTTGGGGGGGAAGGACCCTGTAATGTTGAACCTGGGAATTTAAGGCTGCCCTGGGCACAGGTTTGGGAACTTGGGAGTTCAATTGTTTTCCACTTGATTTATGAATGCTTAAACATGTAGTTATTCCCAAACCCAGGGGAAGTACTGAGCCCAACTTTGTACAAGGTATTTCTGTGCCTTGGGCACTCGCTCACTGACAATGAAAAGACAGAAAAGACATGCGTCAGGCTGACGACGCATGAAAACATTTAACCAGAAATTGGTCCCGCATGCTAGGGTAGTCCAAGCCAAAAGTGCATGAAACAGGCCTGTCATTATTTGTGTGGATCTGTGAATAAAAAGGTTCACATACATGTAGAGCAGGTACGGTACTGTAAGCATACTTATGGACTTCCCCTGATCCACACAAGGCTTCCCTCTTCAAAAGAAAGTCCTCATCTTACAGTTTTTTAAAAATCCTTCAATTTAGTAATTTTCTTTAACTTGGAAAGTTTCACTAACAGTGAGACAGATATAACAGTGTCTATGAAAAAGAAAATTACAAATGAAGTAAATGAATGAATGAATGAAATACTTGTCCAGTGATATAATGAGCAGAGCTATTTTGAGGAGAGCGCTCAGCTCGGGGAGACCATGGGGAGGCAGGTCCAAGATACTAGCCGCATTGAGTGCCGCTCATTGCCTTGAGGAAGCGCCAACAGCTGGCAAATAACAGCCTTCGTGGAAGGTAGCTACTTGTGAAAAAGGCCTGGCATATTTTCAAATAAACAAATCATCTGGGAGGTAGGAAACAAATAAGTTGATCCAACAGTGCCGTTTGCTGGGAGATCAGTTTCATATGAAAGGTCACTTTCCAAATTTTCTAAACTCCTCAGGGCTCACAGTG